AAATCACCCGACTACTCCGATTGCTCATTCTACGCCAAGATCCTCCTTGCCGACTCAGGTAGTCGGCCAAAAGCCTCCACGATAGCCGTCGCGGAAGTCCGCCGAGTCCATCATTCTCAAGGGAAAAGGGGGGGAGTAAGCATGGGATGTTGGAGGTATGGTGAATGGTCGTGATCATTCATATACATAAAATGGAAGGCAGTACAAATATTAACAATGCCAATCAGTGAATGCTACATATCATATCAAGGGCCAAAGTTAGGATATATTTACGTGGCGAAGCCGAAGAGCTTACGGTATGGAGTCGCCTCCCTCGAGGCTCAGTTGCCATTTCTAGAAATCCTGTCATTAGACGCAGCCGTAAACAACTAGAACGATCAGAAATTAAGGGAACTAACCATCCATCTCCAATGACACTTCCATTTTTAGATGATCGTCGCCAAAACACTGAGGGACTCGGCAATGGAGGAGTCGGCATGTGTGTGGCCGGATGCCGAGTCGGCGTCATTAACGTTTAAATCCTAGCAGCCACAGCCGACCAATCCGCAAGCCGATGCCACCACCGATCGGTCACAAGCTAAAATGCCACTGTCAAGCGACCATGTACAGTCCAGTCATAGCCGAACCCTGCTCCATATAGATTCGAGCATATAGTCTGCATCACCAAACACTGAGGGAATAGCGTTCATCATCAAAGAAGGATGTTAGCAGAAGCGACGAAGCCAAATCCACAATGATAGAAGCAAATCCAGTCGATACAATCGCATATTAAATTCGCAACCAAAACTCCCAATCCCATTGCCGAGTCTGAGTCCACTTCCGGCGAGTAGAGGAGCGAGGAAATTGCCGCCGGAGAGAGCACCGACTCCTATTGGGTACCATCAGAATCAGTTACGGGGAATCATCTTCTTTGGACTAAACCACATCGTTGGAAATGGTGGGCAAATGAGCCTCGTGAACTAAAAGCATGCATAAAAATCCGATCCCTCTGGTCTACGCGAAAGAAAGCAGTCGGCTGCGGATTCAGACTGGGATAACGCGCTCGCCGAACTGCTCATGGCCGCCACAGCCGCACTGCCACCATCGACCTACACTCAGCTGTTGATTTTCGAATCATTCTATGTTGCAGAGGTTCCCTCTTCAGTCACAATGAATTATCCATCTACAAGTTTAATCTTGACTCTATCTTTGGCAGTAAGGTGTTTTCTTCTCTGGCTCTGTATCATTCCGTATCTAAATGTACGATGCCTTCGACGTCACTTTGCCAATTCAGACTCGAACTCGGACTCGGGTGGGGCAGGCGAGTCGCAAGAAACAACCATGATATTTGCAAGGCGCCAAACATGACACCATCAAGCACTATAATATTTCACGCAGTCGGCAAAGAATCGAAAATCAAGAAGTCGGCTACGCAGTCGGACTCGGGTATTGTTCTCTTTCCGAGTCAGAGTCGGATTCGACTATGAAAACGAAGGAGGCGACTCCAAAGGCATGACTTCAGTGAGAATGAAGGTCGACCCGAGATTATGCTCATGCGTGTTTCGTCGAGTCGCTGAGTCCTCTGATTCGCTAATCGACATTTGATTCTACACCAAAAATCGCCGACTCCTTACGAAATGCCATCAGCAGTCGACCAACATGTGGTCGAGACAATCAAGCCTGCACGAAGTCGGAGGTCAGCCATTGAATATATATACAGACACCCTACTCAAATGGACTTGGTCGAGCAGGGATTAACAGAGGCTGCTTCTTCCCTTACATGGGTTCCTTAAGTCTACTGTCTACTACTCATTATGGATTTCCATCTATTGCGCCTAAGTGCCTAACACCGTGACTTGTAATTATGAGCATATGAGCTCTCTCTATGTTCTAGTATTTTTGGTATCAAAGTGGCAAATCCACCATCTCATCCGAGTTATCTAGCTGACTCGCGACTCAGACTAGTGATGATGATCTCAAAACTGGAGCATGACAGGCCTGGTAACTTGTTCATGGCTGTCTTGGTGCGCAATGTTGGCACATGTTAAGTTCAATGCTGTGGAGATGTAACAAAGTTCAATTTTGTAGGATTGGCAAAGGGTCATAGAAGGAAATAAGGAAGCCAGGGCTCGACTCCTTCACCCCAACATTAATATTTTTTCTGGCTTTGAAAGTTGTGCAGCTCGGTGGGAAATATTAAAGGATGTGAGACAGATTAAAGGACAGCTCGCTGATTTGCGAGGCCGACTCCTAGAGTCTGACCGAGTAGGTCCGTCCATTCATGCTGGGCCGATCACTTCGTGTCGGACATTGGATTGTCCGCCCAATCCGCTTCAAGGCCGACTCCAAGAGTCTGACCGAGTAGGTCCGCCCATTCGCGCTGGGCCGATCACTCCGTGTCGGACATTGGATTGTCCGCCCAATCAGCTTCGAGGCTGACTCCTAGAGTCTGACCGAGTAGGTCTGCCCATTCGCGCTGGGCCGACCACTCCGTGTCGGACATCGGATTGTCCGCCCACCTAGATTCAAGGTCAACCACCGAGCGCCCGGACCTTGGGTGGTTGACCCATCTAGTCATACAGATAGAAGATGAAGAAGGGGGAAAATTGCAAACACACAAACAGTATCAACGATCTCTCCAAAGCCAGTGAAAATAATAAAAATAGAAGAGGTACATATGTGACATGCAATTTGGGAGCACGACTCGGCAATGGAAATTTAGTGGCAGAAAATGCATATACATTCCAAAATATTGCTCATGGAATTTTTCATCTACAAGGGGCTATATGAAGGGAAGAAAAAGTAAAGCTACAATCAAGAGTCACCCCGACTAAAGGATTCGAGTTAGTAAAGAGATAACCAAGAATCCAAGAAGTTTACTAGGAAAAGAAGAATCATATCCGGGAGTCGCCTCGAGCAGGGACTCGGCGAGAAATTAAAGAAACAACGGGGCACTGACCCTAAACTGTTTCTAAGATAGAAAAAGCCTAAAGGGTCGCCTCGACTGAGGGACTCGGCAAGAAAAGATAGGAAACAAGGGCACTGACCCTTAGACGTTTCCGAGAAAAAGCCTACAGGAGTCGCCACGACTGAGGGACTCGGCGAGTATTGAGAGAAACGACGGGGCACTGACCCTAAACTGTTTCTGAGATAGAAAAAGCCTAATGGGTCGCCTCGACCGAGGGACTCGGCAAGAAAAGATAGGAAACAAGGGCACTGACCCTTAGACGTTTCCGAGAAAAAGCCTACAGGGGTCGCCTCGACTGAGGGACTCGGCGAGTATTGAGAGAAACGACGGGGCACTGACCCTAAACTGTTTCTGAGATAGAAAAAGCCTAATGGGTCGCCTCGACCGAGGGACTCGGCAAGAAAGATAGGAAACAGGCGCCCAGACCCTTAGTCGTTTCCGAGAAAAAGCCTACAGGAGTCGCCTCGACTGAGGGACTCGGCGAGTATATAAAGAAACAATGGGGCACTGACCCTAAACAGTTTCTAAGAAAGAAAAAGCCAAAAGGGTCGCCTCGACTGAGGGACTCGGCGAGAAAAGATAGGAAACAAGGGCCCAGACCCTTAGACGTTTCCGAGAAAAAACCTACAGGGGTCGCCTCGACTGAGGGACTCGACGAGAAAAGAGAAAAGAAACAAGGGTTCCGACCCTTAGACGTTTCTAGAGAAAAAGAGAAAAGAAACAAGGGTTCAGACCCTTAGACATTTCTAGAGGGAAAAGGAGCTACCACCGAAGAGTCGCCTCGACTGAGGGACTCGGCGAATAAAGAAGGAATCGAGGGTCCGAACCCTTAGAAGTTTATTAAAGAAAAAGTTACAGCCGAGATTCACTTCGACGGCTAAAGAGAAAGGGGCTCAGAGCCAGAAGGTCACATCCACTGAAGCAGTCGGTCATGCGGCAAACAAAGAGAAGTCATGAGGATGGAGTCGTGTAGAATGTTGAATAAAGAGTCGACAAAAATCGAGAGGGCTAATAAAGGAAATTTTGAGGCAAGACAATATACTTTTCCATGCCCTGCTAAGCACGAGACATAGAAAAGTGAGGGACTAGTTGATGGGGTGTGAACCCCGTGGGCTCGGGGCCCAAGAAGAAAAGAGATAAAGCCCAGACAAAGAAGGGAAGCCCAAGAAGAAAATGGAGCAAGCCCAAAAGAGATACGAGCCAAGCCGAGGAGTCGGCTCGACCCAGGAGTCGGCGCGAGCGTGGGATCGGCATGGGTAGAGGGTCGGCCTAAAACTAGCCGTTAGCCCCTATTAAATTCCTAATTATCTACCCAAGTCCTATTTACTACCCCACCATTCCTAACCTCCCACTTATTACCCCATCTTATTACCCCATTATTATTATTATTGTCCATAACCCCCTAATTATCACCCATCACTACCCTACTAAATGTCCAACGGACACTTTTGGGATGGGCTAGCTATAAAAAGGAGGGGAAGACAAGAAGAAAGGGGCATCCACTCATTCATCTATACATGGGAGGACTCTCCCAAATATTATCCTCTCACTCACCATCCTTTCTCTCATAGAATACTACACCACTCTCCCAAGAGAAGGCAATTTCACATACACAACAAGAAGGTTATCAAGAAGACTCCATTCTACCAAAAGAAGCATACTCCTCTATATACAAAATAGCCATACAACATGTACAAAGACACCTACGAAATACATAGTGGAATTAGGTTTGACACCGCCCAAAAAGGCCCGTGGTTTTCACCTTTCGGTTTCCACGTAAAAATCATCGAGTCATATTTCTTCTATTTTAGTAGCCTTATTATGAAAGGTGTATCCTCCAGCCAAAGGTTGTGTTGGACCTCCTTGGGCCCGAAAACCCAAAAACCAACAAACCTATTTAACATCATCTCAAAATAAATAATTGTAAATAAAATCTTTTTTTTTCTGAATTAGTTACGTCAAATTTTCTTTCGTTGTAACAACTTATTTTAGTGAAAAAATAAATATTAAACAAATCAGTAAAAAATATAAAATAAAAAAAATAAAAAATAAAAAAAAAAACCTAATGTGTCATGCCATTTTTCTGACAATTTTCTTTTTCCATTTCTTGCGTTTCATTTTATAATTTATAATGATTTACATATCCTACGCTAGGACGTCGCCGCCGCTATTCTCACGAGTCACGATAACACAATAACCCGGTTCTAAATCCGGGTTGACCCGTGCTATACAGCGGGTAAAGACTCGGGCCTCCACGAGAACTCCGCAAAATCTGACGGTTCCGAGAAATCAAAGAGGCCATCGACGGTCACAAATTCACCGCCATTGTTACCACCGTAATTGTCTCCTTCTGTTATCCCGTCGATACCGAGGTGGAACGAGTCGTAACTCGTCAACTCGCCCTCATACCCCATCAGGTTATCCAACACCGAGGCGCCGCCGGCCGGCAAATCGGCCGCATCATCGTTAGTGCCTTGTTTTTCCGGGGAAGGTACGGTGGGAGGGAGGCCAAGTTCGTCGTCTGAGGCCTCCAGAAGGAAGCCGAGATCCGGTTGGGACTCGCCGGAATGTGATGACGCCAGGTCGACGACGGCCTGCTCCGCCGGCGCGGGATGGAGAATTTCTTCTTCGAAACTTCTGATAACCGAGTCGAGATCCTGAATAACCGGGTCACGCTCCGTCAGCGCGTCCGGCTCATCTAAGATATCCAGAATATCATCTCCGAATTGCAAGACCACCGGTGAGTCCAAATTGAACTCGTCCGAGTTAGCCGCCGATTCCACCTCGACCCGTTCCGACTCACCGGAGTGTAGCCCCTCCGAGTTGACTCGCTCCGAGCCAGATGAGTTGACCCGCGAGTCAGCCTTCGTGTCAACTCGCTTGGGCTCGGGCGAGACCGAGTCCAATTCCGACTCATCCCGGACTCGCTTATTGCACCCTTCCATGAGAAACAAACACCAGATTTCGTTTGGGGGCAGAGAAACGAGAATAGCTTATCCCTCGCCGGGACAGAAATATTCTCAAAAAATGTGTGAACAGAAGAATAAGAGAAGGGGTATAAAAGTACAACGTTGGATGGGAGATGCGAAAAGCAGGCTTGTAGATTACTAGGTTTTTGTTTTTCTAACCCTCTAGAGAGAGAAACAAGGAAAGTAGGGAAATGACTGAATTAGCCCTGAGGGCAGTAGTGAGAGAAAAAAGAATGGTTGGAGTGTTGAGAGAGTGTGAAGGCAAATAGGGGGGTAGATGGCTTATATAGTAGGAAAGGGGGAAGGGGATGAGAAATTGACAATGGCATTTCTTGTGAGAGAGAAAGGAACAAAGGCTGACGTTGTTGGTTGTTGGTTGAGGTTGAGAAAATTAGGAGAGAGAGAGAGAGAGAGAAAAAGTGATGGCAAAACATTTTTAAAAGAAAAAAAAAAAGAGAGAGAGAGAGAGAGAGCGGTGTTGGATAGAGGTTGAAACGGATGGAAATAGTACGACTAACCCGGTATTATTTTACATTAAATTTGTTTAGTGAATCAAAATTTTAATATTTATTTTTAACAATGAGTGGGGTTCAATTCATGTCACGAATATTAAAAATTGAGTTTGAATTAGTTTTTTTATACATAAAAATGTATAGTTTGGTGTTAAATATTAAAGCTATATTGGTTGGTTAGCTCGATTGACGTTATTATGTGTTTGGGACAATTTAATAAAGTTCAAGATATAAAATGGCAAATGAGAAAACTTGAGTTATTAAAACAAATTAATAAAAATAAAATAAATTGTTCTACCCAACAATTTGTACATTTCTTTATATAAATAATTGCCATATCTAATACAGAAATAATTTTATAAAATTAATAAATTTTAAAAAATAGTTTTGCCCAACAATTTATACTTTTCTTAATATAAATAATTGTCATATCTAATACACAAATAATTTTATACTTATTAGGTAATAATTTATATATAATTTTGTCGAACATTTTGCTTTGAAACACTTGATTCTTTATAAGGTAAAGTATTTATTCTATACTATTAATGCCTTCACATTAGAATTCAATCATTTGATCGTTCATTTAGAATAATAACAGAAGTGTCATCACACAACATAATAAAGAATGTAAAACACTTATTTAAAACAATTAATATTATCCATTAATTACACCAACTTTTAGTGAACATAATTCCTTTTTGTGTTTGAACCTCGGTGGAGGTGTTGTTCAATTTTTGTGTTTCATTAGATTGGCAAAGTATGTTCGTTCAATTTTTGTGTTTCATTAGGCTGACAAAGTATGTTTGAACAGATATTACAATGTAATTGAGTCAGTAGCATTTAAAAAAAAAAAAAAAAAAAGGAACAAGGTTCAAATTGGCCACTGAACGTAACCTGAAAATGCAATTAGGCCACTAAACGAAAAAAAAAAAAAAAGTGCAATTAGACCACTGAACATTGCAAAAACGTGCAATTAGGCCACTGAACTCTCCAAACGTATGCAATTTCACCGGATAGCAGGTTACCATCAATTTTAGCAGGTTACCTGCTTACGTGGCAGCTGAGTTGGCAATTTTAATAATTTTTAAAGAATTTTTAATAAATTTTAATAATTAATTTTAATAATAAATTTAAAAAATAAAAAAAAATTAAATAAAAAACAAAATACAGTCGTTTTTATTTTTTTTTTATAAAAAAATTATTATTAAAAATTATTAAAAATTTATTAAAAATGCCAACTCAGCTGTCACGTAAGCAGGTAACCTGCTAAAATTGAGGGTAACCTGCTACCAGGTGAAATTACACATTTTTTGTGTGTTTAGTGACCTAATTGTACTTTATTTCCGTTCAGTGGCCTAATTGCATTTTTGTGTTACGTTCAGTGACTAATTTGAACCTTATTTAAAAAAAAAAAAAAAAAAAATCCTTTAACTGCATAAAGTCATTTGCACCCTTCGTTGCGGATGACAAGCTAATTTGGACTTTTTTTTAAAAGCCAAGTGGATTGTACGGTGCAAAATATACTATCCTTGCAATCTTGATATTTCTTGAAAATGTTAGGTTCGGTGGCAAATTATGCTGTGGTGCATACGGATGTACAAATGACGTCGTTTTATTAAAGACACGCGTCTCCTCTTAAAAAAAAAAAATCAGATTCAATTTTCAGCAATAACATATGAACTATAATTCCATAATCGATAAACTATAATTCCAGAATCTATGAACTAAAATTTCATAATCTAATCTATGAACTAAAAATTCCAGAATGAATGAACTAATATTCCAGAATCTATGAACTACAATTCCAGAATCGATGAACTACAATTCCAGAATCGATGAACTATAATTCCAGAATCAATGAACTAAAATTCCATAATCTATGAACTAAAATTCCAGAATGAATGAACAACATAATGTTGTTGCTGGAAATCGAACCTGAATTTTTTTTTTTTAAGCAGAGACGCGCGTTTTTAATAAAACGACGTCGTTTTTGCATCTGTATGCACCATGCTACCATGCATGGTGCATACGGATGCACAGCATAACTACTCAGGTTCGGTCCACTTTGTATTTAAGAATAGTTATTGTGTACAACTGTGTGCGGACTACAATCCAAAAATGATGTCATTTCACACGATTTCTTTTCACGCAATTCGTTGCAATATATATTTTTAAATTTATAATGTACATTATTTTAACACATAAAGTACATTATTCTAACACATAATGTACAATATTATATCTCAAAAGTTTCATTATTCTAACTCATAATGTACATTATCTTACCCCAAAAGTTTCATTATTCTAACACATAATGTACATTATGATCAGACCACGAGGTGCCCTGAGCAGACTCTAATTGTAGGAGGCATCTTTAAGTCTGTACCATATTCAGACTAATTCTCGTTCGCACCGAGCAGCGCAATTAAGGAGCAGAGTAGTTGCAAGATTAGTAATAAAAATAATCGCATTGAGCCGGCGCAATTAAGGGGTAAAGTGTTGGCCAGATTAGTAATAATAATAATAATGATACGACGAAATAAACAAAGTAATTGAACTTGAATATGATAAGAGTGTAAGAGGGTTTAAAACATACGAACCAAATGCCCCTTAAAATACTTGTAACAAAGAGGTAATGTCTAAATTAAGTTGGTAACTACAAAGTTATAAGTTTGAGTTCTAGCGAAGTGAGCTATTATTTAGACGTTTAGTTTAAGCTGGTTAGCTAGGGGTAACTTGCTTATACGGGCTTAGCTCACTAGTTCAGTAGGCACTATTTGGGGCAAGAAACCAAGGTTCAATACTTGGAAGCGATAGTGTGAGACTATGTTCAAAGTGGACAAATCCCTTATACGCATTGACATTTGACTATGTATGTTGAGCCATAGAGTTATCGGGATTTAATCCTCTCAAATATTCTATAGTGTTAGAGATTCAACTTTTTGAAACAAGGCTATGAATAATCTAGACTTGTACACACCATCAAATACTAATTACGGATTTCCCTCGTAAAAAAAAAATTTTAAAAATACATGTAATAAAAGCAATTTTGTAAAGGGTTATGTATTTGTTACCCTTTCAACATAATGGTCAGATTGTCTAATTTAATAAAATAGGCACTCTTTTTAAGGGAGGTGGAAAATTTTGGACGCTTTTTAGCTTACGGCAAAAGTATTTAAATAAATATAATTCATTGAACATTCATCGCTTTTAAATTTTTTTTTTTTTTAATATTTAGCAAATTTTAACTAAATCTAAATCTTTTCTTTATTTTTATCTAAAATTATTCTTTTACCCAAAAAAAAATGACATGGTTTGATTCTATGTTTCATGGATGTTAGGAACTTTGTAATTTAGATTTTGATGATAGTAAAAATTAAATGTTAAGAATTTTAATCACCAAACTTTTACTTAGAGTTAGGAATTCGAATGGTAACTTAGCGAATGAAGCTTTACCCACCGGAGAATAATTAATTTGGAAAGTAAAATCAATTCGAGAAGTAACCTCATGATTTTCGTTTAACTTTGAGCAATTATCCTTGTAAGGCTTCGAAAGGTAACTCAGTGAATAAATCTTACCAACCAGAAAGTCAACTAACTGGGAAGTAAAATGAATTCGAAGAGTAAACCTAGGGGTGTTAGCGAACATAGCTTTCGGTAAACTACTCGTGTTCGTGTTCGGTAAGCGTTCGTTTATGTTCGTTTATTAAGGTAAACGAACATTAACAAATAAAATTTAGAGCTCTGTTTATAAACGAACAGAGTCTGAACAGTTGTAAGCTCGTTTGCTAAGAGATCGTGAACAAGCTCGTTTGTGTTCGTTTAATAATGTTCGTGAACAAGCTCGTTTAGTGTTTGTTTATAATGTTCGTGAACAAGCTCGTTTGTGTTCGTTTAATATTTGTTTGTATTCTCTTTCTAGTTGTGTTACTTGTTTAGTTATTTTTCATGAACATAGATTATTTCTTGTTCACGAACGAATTGTAATCATGAACATGTTCATATGTTTGGTTATTAAGCATTCATGAACGTCTTTATGAACATGAATGAACATGTTCGTGAACGTGTTCGTTAATGTTAACGAACACGTTCGTGAACATGTTTGCGAACGTTAACAAACACTAATGAACGCTTAACAAACGAACATGAACACAATTTTCAAAAACCTTAACAAACGAACATGAAGTCATGAAGACGAACACTCCAAAAACCTTAAAAAAACGAACACGAACAACCTCCGTTCGTTTATGTTCAGTTCATTAACAGCCCTAAGTAAACCTACGAGAAGTCAAACTAGACTTAGTCTTACCCATAGATCTTCGAGGAGTCAAAACTACGAAGAGTCGAGTAGTCAAGACTACGGAAAGTCGAGAAGTGAAGCTACGAGTAGTCAAGGTGTCAACAGCGAAGACTTGAAGACTCGAAGAGTAGAAGTCGAAGAGTAGAAGATGAAGACTTGAAGACTCGAAGAGTACAAGATTGTAAGGTTTGCCCGAAGAGTGGAAGGATCAACCTTAGCCGGATAGTAAGGAGGTACGGAAAGTTAACTTAAAGCAAGAAGTTAATTTTCGAGGAGTAACGATTGACTAAGTAAAGCCAAATCAATCACCAACGGCAAAAAGAGTGAACAGTAAACAATCTCAAAGTGCAAGAAGAATGTTACCAAGGCAAAAAGAGTCCTAGGTACATTTTCCAAAAATGCCAAATGTATTTGTAGTAGACAAAAGGTTTATAATCAGAAACAATAATACACCAACGGCAAGAAATCTAATAAAAACAACATATTATGCTCTACCCATTAGATATTGCACACCGGATAAAAGACGTTTGAAATTTGTTTCCCTCCAACAGACAAATTTCGAAG